GAGCAAACCTACTTAAATCTTCTTCGAGAAATAAAAAACCTACTTCCAGCTGATGATGCACAACCACAGACCATCATGACAGATTTCGAAGTAGCAATGATAAATGCCATAAGAATTGAGTTCCCGCAAACCATACATCGTGGATGCTTCTTTCACCTCTGTCAAAGTATTTTCCGACACATTCAGGAAAATGGCTTAAAACGGGAGTACGAGAGAAATCCAGAAGTTGCGTTGACATTAAAACTGCTTCCAGCCTTGGCATTCGTTCCACCTCAAGATGTAATTCCTGCTTTTGAAGACATTTGCGAGCAAAACATTTTTTCTCCTGAACTGCAAGTTATTGTTGATTATTTCGAAGACACGTGGATCGGTCGCCCTCAACGACGTGGACGGCGCCCGCCCCATTTCGCGATCAACATGTGGAATTGTTTCGATGCCGTACAACATGGACTTCCAAAAACAAACAACGCAGTGGAGGGATGGCATCGAGCTTTCCAAATGCAACTGTGTGCAGACCACCCAAACATCTGGAAATTTATTTCGGCATTAAAGAGGGAGCAGAGTATAAACGAATTACGAATAGAGCAACATATCAGCGGGCAACCACCTACCATCAGTCGTAAGGAATACCGTGATTGTGCACAAAGACTTTTAACACTAGTAAATAGTTATGCACCTGACATAAATATATATGATTATGTTCGTGGAATAGCACATAATATATCATATTGACAACATGTAATTTTTGTTTTTCATAATATGTACCTTCCTAACTGTATCACATTCCTATATTTAGCAATATAAGCATTACTTGGTTGTTTGTGGTTTTCTTATATTTACAAATCAATGATTCGAGTTAAGGCTATCTCACAACTTTATCTTTCGAGTAAAAGATATTCGAGGAATTGCTGTTCGAGCAACTTACAATTCGAGCAAAATTTCATTCGAGCAACTTACTTTCGAGCAATTGATCTCGAGCAATTGGCTTTCGAGCAATTGCATTCGAGGAATTTACCTAGAACCAGAGAAATCACCATCAGCGTAAAACACGTAAATCCATACGTTTTAAAACTGACATTGTAAAACACGTATCTCCACCTTACTCATTAGTAAGGTTATTGTATCACCATCAGCGTAAAACACGTAAATCCATACGTTTTAAAACTGACATTGTAAAACACGTATCTCCACCTTACTCATTAGTAAGGTTATTGTAGTGTAAACATGCGGTGTGGTGTTGCGCTCATTTATTGATACTAACTACTTTTGCTGCACTAAATTAATAGTTTTTGGAAGTAGCTAAGAGGTAAGTTGTAGCCTTATTGCTTTTGTTAAAATTTATCAGTTCTGGGAGTGATAACTCTGTAAAAAATCCCGTTAAAGTCTTAATTTGGATTTAGGAGTTTTACTCTTTTAAGGTATTATAAATTATTTATTAATTTAACGGAGTTACGATAAATTCTACTTACGAGCATTACAGACTTATTGTCATAGAAGAAATAATTCTAAGATAAGGTTTCTTGGAAAGACAGTATAACTAATCAATTCATTGCTTCCGTGTGTTTACAGGATGTCGCGTGGAAAAAAGTGCGTCAGTTTGGCTTTAGCCGGAGAAAATGACCCTCGGGCCATTTTAATGAGTAAGGCAAGTTCAATGGTGTCAACTTCTACCGGCGGTTTTCAGAAATTGTCCTATGATGATGGTTTACTTTTTGAGTCAGAGACGGCGATTGATATTATGAACACCCCAATTATTATAGAAGATTTCAATAGTGAATTACTAATAGACAACAACCAGCACGATTTTATAATAGGTACTACCAACAACCAACAGACAATTCCAATAGCCTTAAGCAACAACACCTGCGATGTCCGTAACCAAAATAGCGAACCCCCACCAGCTTCCTTTGATGATGCAGAATTTTTCCCTGATAGTGACGAAGAAATGGATCAAAATTCTTCAGAAATTGACATTAGTGTCTTGCAGGATGATGAAAGCGACGCACCTATTAATGAACAAGTACAATCAAGAATTGTTGAAGGGAATATACTACGTGAGAAAAATCTGGTGGCGTACAGTGACACTGAAAGTGACCAAGATGCCGTAGAAGATGACATACCGGAAACTGAGATGATAGAAAGTAAAAGAAAGAGACGTAAAAGACACGAAGTTAATGAATCTACTTGGAATTCAAGAAAAGTGAAACAAGATAGAGAGAAAGGTTTGAAATATTGTGGCAGAAAGAAAATAGATGGCAAATGGAGATACAATGTTAAAAAGGATGAAAGAGTGCTTAAAGATAGATGCAAATGTATTTTGACAGATCAAGGGGCGTTAAGGTGTGGAATGTTTACAGAAGAAGACCGACAACAAATTTTTAAAGAGTTTTGGTCAATGTCATGGAAAGAAAAAGAAATATATACTAAACTATTGGTTACTATGAAATTAACATCGAGAGCAAGGGGCAGAAAAGTAGAAAACAAGTCAAGAAGAAAATACACAATTGAATATTACTTAAGAAGACGCGAAGATAGATTAAAAGTTTGTAAAAAAATGTTCACAAACACACTGAGTGTAGGTGAGTGGACGGTCCTAAATTGGAAGAAAAGGAGTGCATCAACCTTAATATCTAAAGACACCGAATCAGATAATGACAATTCAAAACCACCGACACATAATGAGCAACCAGAAACGTCCAATCGTTACACACTTAGACAGAAACCGTTTGCAACTCGAATTGAGTCCTTGGACAACTTTTTTTCCAAATTACCTAAAATGGAATCACATTACTGCAGAGCAAGTTCACAAAAACTTTATCTAGAACCTCTGTGGAAATCCAAAAATCAGTTGTATCAGTTTTATGTAAGTGAATGGTGCAAACCGAAAAATGAAAGACCCTTATCTTTAGCCACCTTTTTCCACACTTTTGACCGAAAGAATCTTAGCCTGTTTCGTCCAAAAAAAGATGAATGTGATACCTGTGTAGCTTACAAGACTGGTAATTTAACTGAAGAGGATTATGCCATTCACACAGCCAAGAAAGAAGAGGCACGTGCCGAAAAGGAAGCGGATAAAAATAATGAGAAGTATGTATTTACGATGGATCTACAATCCGTTCTTCTTGCACCTAAATCCAATGTGTCTAGCTTGTACTTTAAGACAAAATTAATGGTGCATAATTTTACAGTGTACAACTTAAAATCGAAAGAAGGCACCTGTTATTTGTGGAATGAGACAGAGGGCGCACTCACTTCACACGACTTTTCTTCTATAATCGTAGACTTTCTCTTAAAATCACTTCCAGTAGATAACGACAACAATAAAATCATTTTGTACAGTGACGGCTGCACGTACCAAAACAGGAACGCGATCCTAGCTAATGCACTTTCAAATGTTGCCATCCTGTATAACATTACAATTGAGCAAAAAATTTTAGAGAAAGGCCATACACAGATGGAAGCCGACTCCATCCATTCCACCATTGAACGTCACCTAAGAAACAAAAATATCAACGTACCTGCTGATTATGTAGATGTTTGCAAAACCGCACGTCAAAATCCAAAACCCTATACAGTTTACTACTTAGATCATAAGTTTTTCAAAAATTTCAGCAGTATTCAGTTCTACAATTCCATTCGACCTGGAAGAAGCCCAGGAGACCCAGTTGTGACAGACATCCGAGCACTGCAGTACCAACCAGATGGTGTTATTTGTTACAAATTACGCTTTCCCGATGAATGGACTCCACTGCCGATCAGAAAAAACAAGAATCTATTGGCTAAACCAATAGTCGATTTGCCCCATTTATATAAGGAGAGACTTAAAATTAAAAAAACAAAATATCAACATTTACAATTTTTAAAGCAAAGTTTGACCGCAGATTACCACCTATTTTATGACAACTTGCCTTACGACGATTAAATTAAATTAAATTCTTCGTTTTCTTTGATATTATGTAGTTCTGTTTGCGTTTAAGAATAAAGAATTTAGTTTGACAATATCATTATTCTCAATTATTATTCCCAAAACATTAATTAATCATACCACGTAACTCCACAATTGTGCCTATTTTTTTCACACCAAAACACGTAACTCCTCTATTAATGCTTCTTAAGCTAATTTTTACCTATAAATCAAAATTGGAATCTAATCGTTTACTCTAAAAGGTTTTAGTAAGCACAAATGATTTTAAAGGAAAATTAAAAAAAATAAGCAGTTTTTTGCTTCCCCTGAAAAATTTACTATTTAGGAGTTACGAGTATTTACAATTAAGCCGACGATATATAAACCCCTACTGATTTTTATTTTTTCACACCCGTAAACATGAACGTCCAAGTGTTATTAAATGCGCTGAAAATCTCTCTCCAGCACTCGCTTGAGGGTATTGAGCGCCTCCAAGTAATCGAGGAACAGAGATGCAGGGCGACTGCAAACTCGTCATCGTCGTCGCGTGTTAATGAAGAAGATAGGTGTGAGACAACTGCTGCAGAGTCGTCGAGATGCAGAAGATCATCATCATCTGCATCGAACAAGATAAAATTACAAAAAAATGGTAACTCATGGAGAGTGGCGTCGCCTAACCAGCTGTCAACAAAAAAAAGACGACGTAGTACGATGAAGAAGTGTGGTGGTGGTGCTGCTACTAATTTACGGGGAGTGCATCAGCACCAGAAACCGCAACAACAACAACAACCGGAAGAAGGAGAAGAATTTTCCATATTAAGAGAGTTGCTGAAAGATAATAAGGTATCATACCCTATACCTCAGCAACAGCCGTCGCAGCAGCAGCAACAGCAACCGCCAGCGCCAACGCCTCCACCTTGTAATAACAGTAATGGGGAGGAAGGGGAGGAGGATCTATCAAAACTCCTGGAGGAATTTCTGGTGGCTCAGCAGCCTCTACAACCCCTCTCCATGGATGTAGAGAAGCTAGAAGATTTTTTAACATTTTTATAATAAATAATAATAATAAGAAAAGATTAGTGTTTTTTTTCCGTTTTTATTCCTTATAACCAAACGGTAAAGTGTCGAAGTTTTCAATCCTTCGCCGTTTAGAGTAACTTATTCTATACTGCTTGCTTTCTGGTCTACTTATTACATTATAACACTTATCTCTAACTATTTTCCTATCATTATACACATAAATAGAGTCCTTACTATTACTAAGCACCATATCTTTCATCGATTCAAAGTTTATAATGCGCGAGTTCTTATGGTTTAACGTTATACCCTTCACTTTACATACGGATTTAATAGTCTGATCACTGGTGGAAAACACATTATAACTATAGTTTTTCGGTCCGGCACTAACAAACTCAGTTATATAACTTCCTTCACCGTACGCTTCCAGTTCATCAGTCATCTCGCCTAAGAAATCTCCACAAGGAGGGTTCCAGTCGCCAGGTTTTGCCACAAATATTATACTATCTGTATCGTAGTATAATACCCGACGACCCAACTTCTCCAAATAACTATATAACTCTAGACGTGCATGAGCTGTCGTGTATGCGGCTATGGGCACATTAATGGTTTTTAGGGGTTCACCCTCACCCTCAGGTCGATCCCAATTTACAACTACCACATTATCATTAACTGGTATAATGGATTGTACCTGAACCAAAGGATCTGTAAACAATTTGAAAAAATCCTTTGGCTCATATACAATAGTAGACTGAGGTAAATTTTCACGCTGGCCAAACTTGCCCCAAAAGGAATTCAACATCAGCTTGGCTAGATACCTTAAGCCTGGATTTTTTTTGATATTAGAGAAATCGAGTTGAACTCCTTCTCGGGCAAAGTAGTCGCTGATATATTTGAGTTTTTTCGCATTTGTAGTACAGTGACTAGGCCAACCTGAGGCTTCTTGTTTCAGCTTAAGAAAGGTGTCAATGTACCTGCTGAACAATCCGCCTTGTTTAGTCTGTTTATCGTACACATTCATCTCATACTCCCAAATTTCGAAAACATCTAAAATTTTATAGTTTTTAGCAATAGCCTTACGCAGTTCGTCCGCCACAAACGTTCCAACAAAACTGCGTTCGGCTTCGCTATGCTGACATTCTCCTTCATTTAGCTCTGCGCCACAAGTCCTACATAGCAGAAACATTAACTTGCCGTGCATTTTTATAGGTAAAACAGGGTGAATAGAGATCAGAGGGCGGTAGTACTCTGCATTTAACTAAACCCTCCACCGTATCTAATGAAATGTTCTTACAAGCTAAATTCCCTACGTGAATTTTAGGGTGGCGTGTGGGGTATTTAAAAATTTTATTAACGTAAGGGTATAACGAACACACGTCATAATACATTATTTTCTCACTAATCCCATCACACTTATGGTAAAGTTTGCTGGCATTAGTGCGACCGCCGTAAAACGCATCGCGAGGATTTAATGGCTCGTCATCTTGATCTCCTAAATTCTGAATAAACGCTTTTAATTCATCGTTTACAACTATTAATTTCTTAAAATCGCATTCGCGCATTTCCACTAGATTATAGCCGCGCTCGCGTAGAAATTTAGACCGTGCCGCCGTGTTTTCGTTTCGAACAAACATGGAATTATTTATATCCAATTTGGGATCAATATTGGCTTGATTGGGGAAACATTCTTCGCACCCGTGCCAATAACATCCCTGAAACTCGTAAACGGTATTTGTTTCGGCACAATAACCGTCGACCTTAACACCTTCAGGCGTTTTGAATTCGCGTGCTTTTCCGGCATGCTGTATGGTCACGTGCTCGGAATGTTCCACCCAGCGTAACCATTGTATTGCCACTCTGGATTGTTTATCGGCCCGTCTGTAACCGCCTTTCGGAATCAGTCCAATTGTATTCTCTTTGAGGAAGTTTCGGCGGAACACCTTATTGCATGCACTTGGAATTGTGCATGCCTCCTCAAAAGGATCGACTTTATTTTGGGTAGTGAAGCTCGACCAGAATAGAATACAACCTTTAACCAAAATCTTGACATCCATCAGACAATATTTCACAATCTCTTCGCTCATCTTAAAAACATAATTATTCTGGGTCTCTGCCGCGTGCCAATTTAAAAGTTTCTGCCTCTCTTTTTTCGACATCTGATCGATACAATAATATTCAGGCGCTGGCAGAGGACCCTCATAATTCTGATTTTCGGATGTGTTAAAGAGATATGGGAAATATCCCTTGGATTCGGGGAAGTTGAAAGTTTTGGGAAATGCCGAGAGTGCTAATGGAGATTAATTTTAAGCCATTGGAGATGACTTTGGGTCTCCACCGGGAATTATTAGCTAGCATGCATCTAAGCACAAAACATCCGTCGTACCCCTTCATGTTATGCGCTATACATGTAACTTTAAATTTTCGCGCTTTCTCGGCAACATAGGAAAGAAACGATTCTACAGGGTCCTCCCTGAAAATGTGCACTCTATCGCTGCACGTCGGACATCTCTCATCCAAATCGTCGGTGCGCTGCGTGCATGCAGAACAAACATTCACGGCCACGCATAGATTGGGCTCATGCAGAAATCGATCGTTCATACCGTTCAACAACCACTCTTGCATACATTCCAAATCGTAAAAGATAAACATAGAGGGTCTACCTTCACCGATGTCACCCCGGTCTTTATTGACGGGCATGTAACAGAGATGGCCAGTAGGTTTTACATCTCCGCAGGTGTAACAATAGCTGTAACCGCATCTATGTTTACCCTTTACCTCAATGGTTTTGAGACACTTTAGACATCTATGTAATTTTTCACATAGCTTAGTGTCCTTGTGATTTTTTAAACATTCTTGTCCGTAAAAATCTCTCTTGCAATCATTGCAAACAATTTTAGGGTTCTGAATGGAACACGGTGGATTTTGATGACAACAAGGACACTGGTACAAACAACGAGCGTAATTTTTTTTCTTATTATAACGCTTTCTGCACTGTTCGCAGAAATAGCCGCAAGTAAATGCCGAAGTTAAACTAGTGATGACATTATAGTGTTCGTCTTCGAGTATTAAATTTAAAACTAATCTACCCTGCTCCCTAGGACCCTCAAAGTAAACAGAGTCACCTATTCGCGAGTTGTAAACTACGATAGTATATGAAACTAAATGATTTTGAAATGCTTGAATATATTCGTAGCTACCGCCCTGACTAAGGTCTATCCCACTATCTTGGCAGAGTTGTATGGTTCGTCGTTTTAATAATGGACTATCCGCAAGTTTCATACCACAACGCATAGGGTCATTATTTCTAAAAGCTATTGCTAGGACTAGGGCACGAGCTAAACAATTGTTTTCGTCCATTGGAGTCGGCACAACAACAATACCGCGATTTTTGGATTTGCAAAAATCCTCAAATTTCAAACCTGTTAAGTTTCTGCGCCCATAGCCAACAGGTACAGTTACTCGATCCACATTTAAAGTTAACAAGTCATTTGAAAAGAAGCTGGCGTTACTTTGCAATACCTTTTCTAGAATTGACATCAACACTTTGACTGAGAACTGGTCTACGCGTCGAAATGACAGCCCGACGGGTTTTTCTGGATAATTTGGATTTCTTAAGGTAACCCCGACACGATCCGCTGGAGCGGCATCCTTAACGATGTATGAATGTAATTCTTCGAATGCATTCTGTAAAAATCACATATTTGTCACAAACAATGCTAACGTTAAAAAAAATTTTTACCTGCAACCAAGTCAAAGGATTATCTTTACATGTCTCATCATTGAAAGTAAATCTCAACGATTTACATGTCGTGTTAAATTTCTTTATAAATTTCGTATTGGATTCTCCTGTTATTTTAATATGTTTGAATGGAGATGAGGAAGGCGGAGAAGAGGAAGAAGAAGAAGTTTCCATACCTAAACCACCCTGCATAGGGTCGTCTTGCTATAATTAAATAAGTGTTGTCTTATTATAGAAATTCAATCCAATTCAAATTACAAATCACATACCTCGGACAAATCACATGCAGCATCCTGAGTCAAAGCACGGTTAACAACAGAAGAGGTACTTGGTTCTTCAAGACTAAACATATTGGCAACGTCTTCTTTATAAGATGATCTAAAACGCAATATGATAAGTACAATTCAATTTAGGTAGAAAGAATAACTTACATTCCACTAACAGACTGAACAGCGGCCACAAACTGATCATACACATCCAGCGATTCGATATCGTCACCGTCAAACGTTATCTTATAATTAATGAGATTATACGCCTGTAGAAGTCCGTCAGCACTTAATACGCCACTACGCCATAAACCCAAAATAGTATTCGCGTTTAAATTCTCCATTGTGAACACAAAGAGATAAAAGACAATAAACAATCACGATAAAGACACACACTGGAACACAATAATGCTTAGCAGAAAGACGCGACGCTTTTTAAAGCATAGCGGTCGACTACGTTACCACGACTCTGGAAAAACTCGAGGTCAAAGTCCAAGACCACGACCTTGGAAAAACTCGAGGTCAAAGTCCAAGACCATGACCTTGGGGAGGTCAAAGTCCAAGACCATGATCTTGGGAAAAACCCAATGCTACGACAAGTTCATAGTCCAAGGCCATGACTTGAGGAAACCCATTGCAATGGCCTCGGGAAATACCCAAATAAGAAATGCACGCTCTAATTTCAGTTAGTATTTAACTACCGACTCATTAACATCACCTAACGTATTGTTACAAGTTTTATTAGCCTCGCATAATCTACTGCAGTTTACGTAATTATACAGTGCTAATCTGTGCATCTCTCTTTCTTATGTGTTAGGGTGTGTGTGTGGTGTGTGTGTGTGTGTGTGTGGATAAACTTGGAAAAAACAAGGATTTTCAAACAAAAACTAAGAAAAAGTAAGTACACAAATATTTTCTTGTTTTGCTTGCTTCTCGCTTTGCTTTTTCCTCTTCTTCTTCTTTGTAAAATTTGAAATGTATGGATTACCATTTTCTAAGAGTATGTACTTAGATTAGGTTTGTAATACAACATCTCTTATTTTTCTCTACACCTCTCTCTTTTAAATTCGCTAGGAAAATCCCAGAGCACAATTTTAGTCCAACTCAAATCCCAGAATCCAAATCACACAATCTCAACTCAGCATCCAAGACCACGACCTTGATCCAGAATCCATAATCACAACCCTGCCGCAGGATCCAAGACCATGATCCTGTACCAAAGTCACGATCTTGGAAAAACCTCAAAACCATGATCTTGAGGAAAACCCCAGGCCACGACCTTGGGGAAAACCCAAAGCCACGACCTTGGGAAAAACCCAAAGCCACGACCTTGGGAAAAACCCAAAGCCACGACCTTGGGGAAAACCCAAGGCCACGACCTTGGGAAAAACCCAAGGTCATGGAAAACCCAAGGCCACGACCTTGGGAAAACCCCAAGGTCTCCGTGACGTCACAGAAAGTGGTGGGGGGGAGTGTCGGTCTTCTACTACTAATATTCATTCATTAGAGTATTTGTAATTTTAGAAATTCATAGTCCAATTTCCGACCGTGTTTCTATTGATTTTATTGCATAATAGTCGTATATGAACTAAATGCCTTTTCAGTGATTGTTATTTAAATTGGGCTGTACCAATTTACAAACCCTATGTTTTGAAATAATTATTTCAGTGGTGGAAGATCATTTAATCATACCATATCACAAGTTAATTACCTCAGTACATATCGATTGAGCTAGACCGGTGCAACCCAATTGTAAATTAATATTATGTTTTCTAAAGTTTGAGCTGGAACTTTTGCTTAACCCCCGTAAGTGTTAGGAAAACAATAAACTTCTTCACAAAACATTCCGTCACTTACTTATTTCTTATACTCGTTTCTTGTAGATTTAATAACCGTTACATACAACAGCCCCTACTTCAGCTTAAAAAATCCAAGAGACACATAATGGGTAAAACTGAAACAAGATTTCAGTTTAGCATTAATACAAGCAAAACTATTGACTTTTATAATGAAATGCATTTAAAACAATATGTATATCTCTCTCCATTTTGACAATAATGTAGTTAAAATTATTGTTAATTTTCAAAATTATTTATATTGGGAGACTTAAAAAAAGGTGCTTAGTATTATTATAAATAGTACCAGTTTAAAATACATGTTTGAATTATTTAAGCATTTTCGCAGTTTCCAAGCAATGCGCCTATTTTAAAGAATCTCATTCATATATAAATTCATTAAAGGCCATGTCACAAAGAAAATTTATCATACCTGAGAGACTGTTGGAAGCATGAAATGGCAATACGCAATAGTACCACAATAAGACATTTCCATCACTTGTGGGAATGTTTGGATCGCCTTAACTTTGAAACAGGAAACCAGAAAGTATCTTTTATAATATTTTCTTTAAATACTTGGTCGAATCCGTGTTAACATACTATCCGATTGTATCTGGTGTGGTCATAAAGTTCGTGACAATAATGGTGTGGCTGAGAGTTGGTTTAGAATTGTTAAGAAAGACATACTGCTAGGAAAAATAAGGAGAATTTGGCACCGAGGTACATTCGTAAGATGTCCGAGTTGATTACGCCGCGACTGCGACATGAAAATATACTCCTGGAGGCGACAAAGAAAAAACGGAATGCCAAAACGAAACTTAACGAAGTCAAAAATCAATCTTCATCGGCGAACTACAAAGGAATAACAAATGGGGTAAATGTTCGGAAAATATTAACAAGTATTTCAGCAAATTATCAGCATTGCCCCAAGCGATAATCTAAACAAAACTAAACTTTTTATTACTGCCAATTTGGACAAATCACGTCGCGTCGTTAGCAGAATGAGATCAGTCCACTATGTATCCAGAAAACTTCCCTCCTAAGGATTGTTCTTTCGAATATACACCTCATTTTGACAAAGTGTACTAGCCCCTGAACAATCTGACAAACAGAAGGCATAAAAGTAGAGAACTTACTAACCCTGACACCATATATTCAAGTTGGCAACTATTGGGAAATAAAAACGCAACAGTAAACCAATTACCTATTCTAGAAAATCATTAATAGGGGATATAAATTATTATACTCATCGTGATTTTCATATATGTACAGTAGGCGCCTATGCTGGGTAAACCAACTGCATATTGCACGAAATTGATTCAGTAGAGTTTGCATCGGTAAATTCCGGCATCAGGTTATTGATATTTGTTTGAATTTGATCATTGAAAAAAGGACTGATGTGCGATATGTAAATTCGCAAGTAGATATATTTGATAATCAAGAGGGCACGGAAATTGATGGAAAGAAGAAAGATTTGTCACCAGAATCAAAACGACTAATGCTTATTTATACGGCGATATTGCAAATACAATATTTACTACATAGATCCTTTAAAATATAGATAATTAGAGAGAAGTATAACGTACTGGTGAAAGTTTAGGAAAATATTAAAACAAACCGAGTTTTAATTGCGGTATTGTTAATAATGAAACACCTACTTTGTTTCCTGATCAGTACCGCGATTTTTTAAAAATGTTCTTGTTAATAAATTTAAATTCTATTGAATGAGCAATATATGTATAAACTGCTCAAGAGAAACACCTCCAAAATTTGCAAGTGCTGTCGCCCGACCATTGAGAAGGTCCGTATTTTCAGGGTCAACTTTGTCCCATGCTCTCAACACCGTGTTTTTTTCCAAATTTGTAGGGCAAATGAGAGGACTGTCGCTCGTGCTCGTCCTCCCTGCTTAGGACAAATTTGTATAGTGGAGTAGACCTACAGGGGATACCACTGAAAAAAAACCTCAAGGGTGTGTGCGGAACAAGGTATCACAGTAATTATTTATATAGGTGGGCGCTACAGCAATGAAGAATTGCGATATTACCTTATTTTTATAATTCTATTATATTAAATCAACCTATGTTGTTAAGGGTAAGTAGCTGTAAAACAAATTGTTGTTCTCGTTCCCGTGAGAATTTCGGGAAGATAGAGAATAGGTGTACGCTTTTTGGGTTTTACGATTCAGAAACTATGCAAGGGAAAAAAATATCAGTTAGTTTCCTTTTACACCAACCTAATCTGTCTATGTTGTGACAAGTGTATAAGCGAACAGAAACTTTATTTTTGTCAAAAGTGCGGTTTTCGGCAAGTAATATTGATAGCTGATGTAATTCCGACATTTATGGGACTCTTCCTAGACCTGAGAAAAAATTCAAAAACATCGTGATCACTGGTGATGGTGGCGGTTTCCAATCATCGATTCATTCTACGTTCAAGTTTTACTCGGTTAGCTGAACGATTGCGAGAATCTGGCAGTATTCATCGCGTCCATTGTATAGAAGACGTGGTAGAGGTCGTTCGGAGAAAAATCATTCAAATCAATCCTCATACAAGCACCCGTCAAATGGCAATCGATCTAGGAATAAGTAAAACGATTGTTCATAATACTTGTCTGGTGCGACGACTCCTTGAAAATGTAACATTGGAAACCAGGCGAACTACGCATTTTCTTTCAACACGATGGGTGCCCGGCACATTTCTCGGTAAATGTGCGAGAGTATTTGAATTTGAATTATCCTGGCAAATGGATAGGAAGAGGAAGTTATTTTCCATGACCAGCTAGGTTACCCGACCTAATTTTCTTACACATATTGGTGGGGAAGGACAAAAGACGTAGTCTTGCAAAGAAGGCCAACTACAAGAGACGATATGGTGAAGAGAATTAGACATGCAATTCATAGCATATGTATGGCTGAAAGTTTCCCGATGATGAGCAATTAAAACACAAATGGCTGGCTGCAGTTCGGCGCAAATCGGTGCCGGTTTAGTATGCGGTCTACCTTACAGACAGCGGTCTACATCCTATCAATCTGAATGCAGTATGCGGTCTACCCTTTTACATTGGAATATTCGTCAGGTATTTCAAAAAAATAAAGCACATTTCAACCACTTTCTTTTTAGTGATCCATGATGATCATTAGACAATCACCCATAATTGCATTTTTGCAATTGCGGTCTGCTATCCCATTAATGGCCCATTATTGCTAATTACAATTACTTAATGGATATTAAGTAGCCCCATGTATATAAGCTGGTCAAAATCTCCCCATATTTTAGTTCATAACTATCCGTTGCTGCTCGTATTGCTGGCACTCAACATGTTACTTCGCGAATTTTATTTGAACGTGAGGTCTTCGGAAGAGACGGCAACTAATTTTTTGAGACAACATAATCTGTTGGACGTTGTAGAAGATGCTGCAAATTGTCATCGATGTGGCTCGGCGTTGCAAGAAAATCGAAGAAGAGATCGTGGAGGAGAATTCAGGCCAATATTGCGCTGTCCAAGGAAA